GTCTTAGTCGTGCAATCACGCCATAGAGTGAATTGCGCTACCCATTGGACAAGCTGATGACATAGATCCGGTCTTCTGCCGCTTCTTCGCCTCCCCTCACTTCATCCATGTGTCCAGGGCTTGAGCTGCCGGCCAGCCAACCAGAAATGGCCTTCTTATCTGAAGCTTTTTTCTTCTCCTTTTTGTTCAGGGTGCCAACCTGTTCTCTGAAGTCGGTGGACAGCGGATGGGAAGCTTACAACCAGTTTAGCTGAGTTGCAATAGCATAAACAACAGATAGCGGGTACCGTTCTGTAAGAGCTTCAGGAGAAGCTGAAAACACTCATTTTATGTTTGTTCGATTTTCTGCGGAGTGCAGTAACCAGATATGCCCCATGGGTAACAAAACAATTGATCTTGGTTAAAAAAAATACTACTGTCGTCAACCAAAACCTGTTAAGTGCAGTGGCTAACAAGGCAGGGTGCCATATTGCTTCAGCAACTATGTCTGAGCTATATACTTCCAAAATAGCATAAGATAGCATAAGTAGCATTACCCAGTGTAGAGAGATAAAGGGGAATTATTTTAGTCGTTTGTATTGCTTAGTAATTCTCGATGCATCATAGGTCTTAGAAAAACTGGATCCAATTGATTTAACCTAGAATACGAATAATTATTGAATCTCTTTGTCCCAGCAAGAAGAGTTGAGTAACTGCAATAGCAACGCTTTCCTTGTCTATAAGTCAGTAGACTTATATTAAGTTGTTCCGAAAGTTTTGTCGGTTTCTTTCAACGCTCACTAAACCCAAAGAACACCAATCCATGGACGGCTTACGTACTATTTGATTCAGACTTTTATCTTTTTTCTTACAGTTATACTTGCTCTCTGATCTACCCTGTCTTGGCAATGTTATCGCCATGGCTTTTTGAGCAGCTTAGCAGTAACGTCAAATCTTTCCTGAATTTTCAGAATCCTTTACTCTGATGTTTCCAAAGAGCGCTAATAACTGTTATGTAGAGCAAACCTTTGGCTACTTTGTACCCGTCTTAGATTACATGAGCCGCGTTTACCAAATCTGTTATAATTATTTACTTAATAAAAACCGCTGCTTTTTGATTAAGTTTAAAACGTAAAAGTACCAAAAATTCCAAAAAGCTGCTTTTCCAAGGCGAATCAAAGTTGGTTATGTTGCATAAATAACGTTCTTCAAAAGCTTTCGCGTATTTGATGCAATTGCGTGTTTTATGATTTTGCCAAAAATCGATACCTCCGGAGAAATAATTTTTGAAGCTAAAAACAGCAGATTAGAGAATCTAGAAATACTATCTTGTAGTCCGAGAATTGCTCTATTTGATCCATACTTAACCCTTCGAAACTTTGGACTGAAATTTTTCAAAAATTAGCCTAACTTTGAGCAGGTAAAATTGACGGGTGGAGAATTTTGGCAATTATCAAAAAAAGCGTGCAAGATCGTGGTACGAAAATGTTTCCATAAGAAAGAGAAGGAAAAGCTGCATCGAGTGCATGTTAAAACTCACTCAGGTCTTTATTGTGCGTGGTTTCAGTGGTTTGAAAAAACCGACAAAACTTTCGGGACAACCTAATACACTATCATACTACTCACATTGGGCCTTAAAATCTACGCCGAATGGCACCTGGCTCCCTTTCTACAAGACGACATAGAAATGAACTGAGCGAAGTTCACAGATACAGATAAGAGACATAATTTTTTGTCGGAATTGGAAATCACCGCTGATATTCTAATATTGAGTAAAGCTGTATGAACGAGAAACACAAGTTCATAGCGCAAGATTTATGAAGTCAAAACTGTTGATTTCATTGCAAAAAAGTGCATAAGCGCTGGATAGCTCGTGAATATAGTGTTAGGTACATGTATCGGGAAAAAAATGTTCTTCTCGTTACATGGAATGCCGCTCTACTTCCGACAGAATGCTGCGCTCGTTTTCATGTACTCAAAAACATAAAGCAGCACTTTAGCATTAGAAATGGCTAGGAGATCGATTCTAGTACAGTACCGCTCATGATTTGTCTTAAATGTCAGCGAACTGCACCAAATTTCCCCTGTACATGGACAATCCTCCGATAACTCAGACATCCGGGGGCAGGCGGCACCGAAATATCCTTGTTGCTGACTTTTCGCATCCGCTGGCTTTTGGAGAACCATTATGATTTTTGGCGACGCAGCATGTTGACTCCATTGCACTCTAATTTTACGCAGAACGGTTGCTGTTTTTTAGTCGACGCCAGAAATCAAGGAGAGACCTCGCAAGAACCGTAGTCACTTTTCTAAAATACAACGAGCGGGGTGCTAGAGTTCATCCATCTTTTACCGTGAATGCCTACCTCCTCCGATTGTCTCAATAAATGTTGACGCGGCGCTGGAACAGCGCTGGCCCAGCGCCGATGTGGGCAACTTTAGACACTCCCTAAGAGCAAATGGCATTTAGAATTTTGATACCAATACTCCACACTTGCCTCTATACTAAGATCACATTTCGATGCTTGTCATTTGGATGATAAGTCAGCCCTTATCCAGAACGTTCCAAAATGAAAACAACTCTTGCAAGCTTTATCTCGGTGAGAATGGCAAAAATGATCGCGTCCATAGCTCCAGTTTGGGAGGATTGTCCAAAATAAACCACCTAGTGTTTTGAATATGCACGCCACAAAGTAGTACATTCTTCTCGATCTTGCCTTGACAAAGTTTGATAGAAAATGATATTGCCCATACACGAGGACCGACTATCGGAAAGGAAGTCATGTATTAAGCCGAGCTTCTGATTTGCGAAAGCCTAATAATGGAAAACAGAGACAAAAGGGCTTCAACATAAATTGGCGCAGCTTAGAAGCTATCGAAGGAAAACCATTTACACATTTTCATGGTACATCCGCCTAAGCAGTATTACTTACATAACACCTCCGTTTTCTTATTTTTACCAACAAAAGTTGGGAAAATATCTTCCTATGTAATTGTCTACCTGAGGCTGTATAAAACAAGGTTTCAATTACACAGTACCAAAATGAAAAACAGTGCTCTTTCCCAAGGCATTGAGATATGTTCACTTTGTTTCGAAGGATAGTTACCAGTTACTTGAAATTGAAAGGACTCTATTTCCAAACGGTATCCCTGAAGTAACCTCTTTTGATTTACGTGTAATGAAATGGAATTCTTAGGCAGACTGCGTATTCATTCTCTTGCATATCTTGGACTGCAAGTGTCTGAGAATGACTTCGCGAACATTAAGCTACAATGCAAGAACACTTCTAGAGGAAAAAAATTTTTACAAATATATGGCAGGCTTAGCAAATAATGGGACTAAATATTCTACCTTATCAAGAGCATTAGACAATGTTCGCCATGCGAAGTTCGCAAAAAAAAACTAGTCAGTCATTTTGAAAAACAATCTGCACTTCATTCAACGCAAGAATTCAATGTGTGCATGCGCTATAAACGAATGTGGTCCAAATCTTTTCCTCCCTTGAAAAACGGTGTGTTAGTACGTAGCTTTGTGACAGATCTCAGTGTCCTCTCTTTCTCCCTTATTATAGGTAATTTTGTGCCCAATCTCGGTATATTTCAGTAACGTTTTGCATTTTCCCGCTCACTTGCACTTGCTTCTTGACACACAAGGAGGGCTGCCGTTTATAAGAAAAACGGCCAATAGCCGGTGATGTCACGGAATGCTCACTGCATCAGCACCTGCGCGCGGCGTGAGTACTTTAATAGTCCATGGATGACTCCGAATAGTTTCCTATGTTTGTTAAGACTATCGCAAGAGGTGTTTCCTGTCTAATTTCGAAGAATGCAACTCACACTAGAGTAGAGTATTTGCACGGAGTATGGTCTACTCCCCTTCTTCCCCCTCCCCCCCCCCCCTTCCGTCTTATATAAAGCCTAACAAAGAGAAGGCTGCTTGTCAAAATTTTCTTATATTTTCGCAATCATAACAGTACCCGGCAAGTTTTATATTTCTTGCGAAGGCTCGACTGCTACTCACGCTCTGCCACTAGATCAAATCAAACAGACAAGAGAAGTAATGGTAGAGGCGCCCAATTGTGACCGCTGTTATCAGAATTTGGGATTCACCACTGAATCAAATAAGCCCTTTACCGCCTAGAGACAGCTAATTGTGTAAGTGTTACGTATCTAGGAGGATTGGAGTACTAAATTGATGGCTGCTAATTCTCATTCGGTGTAAAATCTCCCTCTTTCTTCCACAAAGCAACAAAGTTATAAAATCTTCAATTTCCTCAAAGGCTCTGTTGGAACCGAACCACTACTTATTTATAGAAACTCAAAAAAAGAAGGCAAGAGGTTAGAGGATATCTTGAAAATAAGGGCAATGAAAAAAGGGAAAGCGAAGGAAAAGAGGAGAAGAAAAACAGAATGCATTTCGATCTAAAATCAAGAAAGTATTCGGATATGTAAGCTCATGTTCCCCAGGATCTAACATGTTTACGAAAGCAAAAATTCGGTTTTGCTCTCGCATGAATGTACTTATTACAAGCAGGAGAAGTCTAGGTTATTTAAGCAGAGTTTGAGTTATCGAATAAAAAGAAAAGGCAAAATGATATTTGTTTCTTCTCTTGCAGCTGAGGGTCCGCTTCAAGCCGTTTTCTATCGCCCTTGTTTTTCGTTATCAACAAGAGTAAACTAATTATATATATGGTTGCTTATGTGTTGAAAAATGTCACTAAGCCCTCGAGCCGAGTTCACGCAATTTCATCGCCGCGATTCTTCCACCAAGACAAACAGTTACGGTCTTGTATTCCGATCATGTTGCATTTCGGCTGTGATAGTTAGTCACGATTGGTCGTGTTGGAGAACTATCACAGCCGGAATGCAAGTTGCTCGGCATGCAATAGACTCGTAACTGTTTGTTTTTGTTGGAAGAATAGCGGCGATGAAATGCGTGAACTTTGCCCGAGGCCTAAAATGATTGATGCATCCCGTCAGACTTATTGTTAGTCTAATAACGGATTATGGCATTAACCTACCTGCGCATTGATCTTCCGTTCGTCAACACTACGTAATGCGAAATGGCGCGGTGTAGCGGTGTCGTGTTGTTCTAAGTCATTTTCAATCTCGTCTGTGGTCCTTTTCTGGGCGGGTGTTGCGAATGCCGATGTTTTTGCGCTGAGATCCGTTGGCTCGTGCACGTCATCTTCGACCTAGAGTGACAACACATTTTTCCAAATGGTATTAGATCAAGATTCCTACCTCGGTAGCTTCCGCTTTGATTGCTATCGGTTGCGCAAAGATTTTCACCGGTTTAGGTGCGGGTAATCCTGTTGGAGCAATAGACATTGGAGGAAGCGTGGATCCAAATAATGAAGAAGCTACAGAGGAAGCGGTGTCACTTGCGGAAGAAGAGGCTGAATTAGGTCAGATTCGCCACGCAACACCCTGCCATCAGATCTCCATTTTTCCTTACCGGAAGGACTCTTTTGAGGTTCTGGCGAAGTCTTCTTTGCGATATGGGCAACCATTGTCGATGCGACCTGAGTGTTCATTTCCCTCAGCAATTGGGCTCGGGCTTTTTCTTCTGAAAATGCATTCTCTTAGATTGAAGAATCTTCGTGAACGACGAAAATTTTTGCTCCAGACCAAACTACTAAAATTTGGGGGGGGGGGGGGTAGAGAAGAACGGTTCAAACGCCAAACAGGTGGCTCCGCGTTACCTGCCAGACGCTATCAATTACTCTAGACCCGGGAAATTGAGCAGATGGGCCACCAGCCGGTTTCAAATAGCCGAACTGTTGACAATATAGCACTATCTTTGGAACATTCCACTAATGTTGATCAACTTCCAAGGAGAATATGAAAAAAGCAGCAATTATATATGGAGTCTGGATTAAGTGTTGTCACACTTTTCTCGTCTTTTGCTGGAAAACTCTGAAAAAGTCTCATACTTGGGAGATATATCCATGGGCATCATCATTTTTACCTTCACGAACATGATTTGCAGCAGTATAAGGACGATTATGCAACGTTATTTCGAACATTTGCTTTTTTTCAAAATTTCCAATTCTTTTTATCTCAAGATTTCTCGCGAATCTCAGAAAAAAAATTTATGTTCTACTTCACTTTTGGGGAAAATTTGTAAGTATCTTCTCCTGCTCATTTCGCCCGATTCTGATAAACCTGCGCTTCTTGACGAAGCAAGGAAAAGCAGATTTGTAATGCCGGAAGCCTTTTACTTCCACAAAATCTTTACTGTAGTTGCCGACCTTGTAGCTTAGACTCATCCTTGTGCTTGCTTCATCCGAAGAAAAACACAAAGTGTTACATGCCTCGTTCGTCTCTCAGCTTGCGTAGTCTTTGTTCAACAAGGCGCGCTCTAATGTTAGACATCTACGACAAACCGGTCATCGAGACCATTTCGAATCGTATGAAAGCGGTCCACGGCTAGCTTGTGCATTCGTGGACCGGGCCATGGAGCAATGTGCGAACTACCTTCTTAAAGGTGCACTTCACAAAAAAAATGTTGTATGGCAGACCGACTAAGAACCGTCAGCAAAGCGGTGTACTTTAATGTCCGTGATTTGTCTTAAATTTGTTTATTCTATGTCTGCGCTGAGGTATAGCTGTTTTTTTCCAATTAGACTACTCTTTAGCTGGAAAGGAAGAAATGCAGCCTTATGAGACAACGCAATAAGGCGAACCGCAAATGCACGAGAGGCACCATCCGATAAAACAAAGCAAGCTCCGTAAGATAACCTTAGTAACGCACATGCAATCTACGTAACGTTCGAAATTGAAATAAGAGTATTTGATTGCCTCAAAATTCAGATCCCAGCGAAAAAAAAGGCTGCACAGCGCTCCTGTCAACGGGTAATGAAAAAGCACAAACGGAAATTTGGAGAATTGGTGGCAGAGTTCAAACGCAGACCTGCTTTCCGGTCACATACTTTCTACTATAAAACAAAGCTTCAGAGTAAGATCATGATAAGTCACAGCCCTGTATATACCTTAGCAGTCGAGAAAACAGAATTAAAATTGAAAGCCGTGACAATTTCGCAAATCCACCTATTTTTTCCTTAACTTCAGTTCCCGAAAAAGTTGAGATAGTGTGTTGATGTCCATCACTATTTCTTCAATATGTGTATATGGTTAATTTAACGAGAAGAACATTTTTTTTGCGCGGAGATCTGATTTTCGGGTGATAGATAAGTTTTCAGAACCTACAAACTTATGCTGCTATGTCTTAAGCAATTAATAATGGATAACTTGAAAGGCTTGCGTCACTCTATCTAACAGTAATTTCTGGCATGTTTTTGTGTTTATCGCGCCCGCGTAGCATGAAAAGCGACCTTAAAGGCACCGTCCGCCCTAAGTTGAGTGTGTTGAGCTTTTGGCAGCAATAGTAGGGCTCCCTATCAATCCAATGCCCAAGTCGCGGCGCAAAATGCCGCTTCGGAAACGAGAAAATCGCTTTGGAATAGCAAAGATTCACGAGGACCCTCATCCATGCCCGCCCTCCCCCATCCATGCCCGCCCATTTGTGTGCGCCCATCCAATCACCGTTCCGGAAAGCCGACCTGTGGGTTCGGTGGAAAGGGATTGTCGGGGTTTTCGCGCTTTCTCATTTCATATTCGGAATCAGGGACATGAGAAGACCCTCGATATAAACGTTGAAGTCGAAAGTCTGGGTGGACGGTGCCTTTAATCCTTCTAATCTTTTAAGAAAGCTTATTGTTGTGGCTCCATCGATTTCGGTTGCCAGCGGACGACGATTGTGAAATGTCTGTTAAAACAAGACATCGTTGTCTGCCATGGGATAAAATGCACGAAATAGAAAATCTCCTACCCATTTTTAAAATGAGTGTTGACTGACGTGCTTCTTGAACTTGCTGATATTCTTGTACATGGCAACTTCGCAGATGTCGTATCATACCAGTAGTGCTGAAAATCCTACCATTTCATTCACTTAAAAAAATTAAGTCTTCAGAGCCCGATAGAAGTGCGAAATAAAAGTTCCATAGAGTTCGGCGCTTTCTCCTCGCTCGCTGTTTTTATGAACCCAGCCACAGATTTTGTGCTCGGCCGCTCACAAAAGACCCCAACGAATATTCAACAAGGTGATGGCTTGTTTTCGGATAAAGAATAGCGCATAGTGGGTCGAGCATAACAGCTACTACTGTAGCTTCCACGCGTATGCTAGGAGAAATCCACTTTCATTCAAAACGTACTGAGACGGGTATAAGTGGCCAGAAGCTACAGATAGACGGTTTCAGCAAAAAGATACGTTCTATGCATTCCATTATCGTAAAGGATAGTTGAAAATAAGAAACCTGCTGTTGGTGGCCTTTATTTTCTTCCGACACAATCGGCACTCCGCTGCCTGCTCCGGTGTTGGCAACTCGTCGAAGAACCGCCACACCTACAATATCAAAACCGCTCTCTAGTTTGCAGGGGATTGGGATATACTTCTTTGCTCAAAACATTTAGATTGGAGAGACCTACGTCTGACGATGGAATTGTCGGCAGCGTAAAGAATACAAATAAAGCACGTATGAATTCTCAGAAAACACAAGTTTTTCTGAGATGTCAACGTATTCCGTATCATTAGGTTGGAAAGAAAGTTCTTGGACATTTTCAGACTATAACTGCTACTTCTCGAAACCTAATGCATGTACATTAGAAAAAGATACCTTTTGATAGAGCAAAGCAAGCTACAAGATGGTTTGCGAAAGTTCGCACCAGCTTCGACCCACCGCAAGTCTGCATTCAGAATCTGAGTCGTACTGAAGGCTCGAAAAACTGGGAAAAAATCATATCTTCGTTTAAAAAAAATTCTACGAATCTCCAACTTGCTCACGCAAATTGCACACCACATCAGACAGTCATATTTACCGTTCCTGTATTTTCCCCATTTAAGAATCGAGAAAACGAGGATTTTCGTGCTTGTACCAAAACGAAGCTACGCTATTCCCACGCATGCAATTGCATAGTATACCCCTTAGAAGTATAACCGCAAATTTTTAGCTTTCCAAAAGCCCTACTTTTCAAAAAGTATTGATTTTAGCCTGGAACACCCGAGTGAGGAGGGCTCAATTCGGTAATTTTTGGAAACTAGAGCGTGTAGAAAGCTGAAAATTCACGGTTATACTTCTAAGGGGGCGTACTATGCAATTACATGTGTGGGAACAGCGTAGATTCGTTTTTGCACAAGTATGAAAATCTTTGTTTTTTTGATTCTTAGATGGGGAAAAATATAGGAACGGTAAATATGTTTGTCTGATGTAGTGTGCAATTCACGTGAGCAAGTTGGAGATCCGTAGAGTTTTTTCAAACGAAGATATGATTTTTTCCCAGTTTTTCGAGCCTTCAGTACGACTCAGATTCTGAATGCAGACTTGCGGTGGGTCGAAGCTGGTGCGAACTTTCGCAAACCATCTTGTAGCTTGCTTTGCTCTATCGAATGGTATCTCTTTCGGATGTACATGCATTAGGTTTCGAGAAATAGCAGTTCTGGTCTGAAAATGTCCAAGAACTTTCTTTCCAACCTAATAGAATCGCTTTCGAGAGAAAGTTTACGCTCAATCAATATTACTACCAAGATTATGAAAACAAAAAAAGTGATAAAGCTGCTGCAGTTTCGAGATCAGAGTTCATCACGGAATGGCTTGCACAAGGTTATGTTTATGTGTTTACGCGCAGTAAACAAAAGAGTAGCACGCTGACTATTTATCATATTCAGACTATTCCATTCTAATTTTTTTTATCAAAACATGGCTAGAAAATCATTTAAAATTAGATTTTATCTAGTTCCAAGTCTCCTTTTCAAAAACGAAAGGAAGACTTGAATCCATTCAGTACATTCCCGTTAAGAAAGGGCTTTTTTCAATGGTTGCTATTTACTCTCTAGCAAGCAAACAAACAACATTCTCTTTCTAACGAATAGTGTTTGGTTTATCAAATCTTTCCCGAGTTTGCCACTCACTTTGGCAGTTTTCATGGTTGAGCCACCAACACGTTTTCGAGGTACAGCATAGTCGAAATTCTGAAATATAAAAAAAAATTCAAGCATGCGACACCGCCTTGCCTCACCATCTTCGGTTTTGATTCCGAGGTTGACGAATTCGTGGTCTGCAAGGCGGCAAAATGCTGCGATTGCAGAACTGCCACTTGAGATTGTATTAGCGACTGTACAAAATTCAGGCGATGATTATTTGAATTCATAAAAAGCGAAATCTACCTGAAAGTGGGGTGACTGCAACTGCGAGGCGAATGCTGCAAATGCCGAGGGAAAGGATGAGAATGACCCCGGCTGCGGTAGCTGCAGCATCTCGAGACCCTAGATAGGATGCAGGTGATGAAACGCAAGCGCCCAGTAATGCACCAATCATGCTAGCGAGGAAGAATAAGCGTTAAAGCTAGACCCGAATCACCAAAACCGAGTCAAGCATACTAACTGCTAAAGCACTGAGCAAATCACAGCTGTATCGACAGCAAGCTCCGCGCAGAAGCGGTATAAATCATGCACATAAAATCACTGTAAGTGGTATGCATGGGAGCACCATCAATGTAAAGCATTGAGTTATGAGTTCTTGTAATTTGGTTGTGAGCAGATAATATAGATCAAGAAAACTAAAAGAAACAGAGGGAATTACTGCAACATTTTTGTCAGCAAATCTTTCGGGTTATAAATGACTTCCTGGTAACTTAGCGGACTCCGTCAAAATTTGCCTAAATACGCGTCGCATCGCCGTAATTTACTTCTTAGTGGTTGTGTTCTGAATCCAATCCACCACTCATCCCACCTCGACGAAGCGCACCTTCTAAGTACGGTGGCATACAATAAATAGCCAGTTCTCTGCCGTCTTACGCGGATTTTTGCTCAAGGTAGGTTACACAGTGTGCACAATTGGATCACGTATGTATTTTGGGTGCCGCTAAAAATTGGCTACCCGCTGTACTCTTACCGCAATCAGACAAACGTATGAAGGAAGAAGTTTTCATCGAGCTGAGCTGGATTGCTCTTGTATGTCCGCGAAACGAGATATTGCGGTGCAACGCGAATCCGGCAGAGTACGCGGTTTTTTCACTATGCGCTTTGTGGGAGGGTGTCCCCACTGTGAATTATCAAAAAGCTTCAACCCGTACGGCGTTAGTGCCTCGATATGAACCCAGCAAGGCAGAGACATAAAAATCGACATCACAAGGAGGACGACAAAGAGGACGTGGGACAGAGGATGAGGTCCAACACCAGGGCGACCGGAGACAAACGTGATGGTTACATAGCCTAGATCTCTCGCTCGGCCCGGAACGAAATGGTCAATATGCATACAAACAAACTCCATACCTGCATGAAGAACAATTTGAAGAAGATACAGAAAATAAGAAGTAACAACTACACGGTGAATGCACAAAATGCGCCGTGGTATACTTGCTATTGCTTCATTTTGCAAATCCGTCACTTCTGTGTGGCTCATATAGTACAAGCGGATGCGGAGCAGTGCTATGCTTTCAACAAGATTTTTACAGAGGCATCGAACTTCTGGTAAACACTACGAAAAGCTATTTTCAAGAAAAGTTTGAGAATGAGTACTTCTAAAATACATTCAAGCTACTGCAAGCTTGATGAAGATAAACTGCATCGCTAAATCCTGAGAACAATGCCTTGTATTTACTTTAACATAAGAAAGGTGTAGCATTCAATGGAACAAAAAGCCGATGTTTGGACAAACATTATTTAATGGATATGATAAACCTGAAAATAAGTTCAGAAATAAGCTGTTGCTTTAGCCCACACACTGTGACTTTTTTTGGTTCATCCGTAAGGGGTGCTCTCCTAGAGAGAGCATAATCAAGTAAAGTAGTTGCTTAAAGATTTAACAAGAGCATGAAGATAACTTCGAGAAGTTATTCATATAAATGAGGGTCAGAACGAGATGATCAGAGCGAACGGATTAAGTCCACTAAGCACGAGAAATCGGGACACAAAAGAATCGTGAGGGTTGAATGCGGATTGAGGCAGAGGAAGACAGTTGCTCTGGGCCACATAGAGCCTCTTTTGGTTCATGAATGAGAAAGTATTCTGCTAGAACCAGCAAAGTCACAACGTAGCACATATTTATTCAGCTAATTGGATTGCTTGCTATGCAAACTTCTATGGGAGGCTCTTCAGGCTTTCAAAGAGGTATAACATAAGATAACAACAAGTGACCATTGTAAGCCGAGAGAGATCCAAGACAGTGCTGAGGCAATGCGTTATCTTTTTTCTTTTTGAGTCCATCAAGTGTTTGACGTGCATAGAAGGAGAACGAAGGCATATTTAACATAAAACAAATGGCCCGAAAACACACGGCGGCAGTCATCGTGTCCAGAAACCAAAGCTGTGATGCCTTAGTGAGATGGGCGGAGTCACTCGCGGTGCAATTCGACTACTGTCGTCGTATTACGCTATTGTGTTGGTCAATCCCCGTCCGAGGTTTGAGGGGCGGTACCCACTCGCCAGCCATCGGCGGGATGTGTGATGTAGCAGCACAACACTATAGGAGAGGAAACGAGTTCGAGATGAACGCCTGAAAGCCATCGGAAGATGACGGCAGCAGTCGTCGTCGGGGCTCGAACTAGTTTTGCATGTAACAAGCGCCGAGGACAGCAACTGGACCTCCATATTCGCCGGCGACTAGCTAGAACGAGTTTGCCGAAGAGCGGGTCAGCGCCGTAGAAACGCTGGCCGCCGCTACCACATGAAAAGAAGAAGATGATGACCACGACTCAACATTCCCCCAGTATAGCAATAGCCACACAGCAGACTTGCCGTGATGATGCATAAGCAAAGTCCAGCATACAGGAAACTGCATGAGAAATTTACAAAGATGGAAAGCGTTTTCTTCTAACATATATCTAGCCTCGTTCATAGCATACTTTATAGGTAACGAGCCTCATCATGCTATGTGACGTACGTCAGAAAATATTTGTAGTAGGAGGTCATACCAAGCGGAGGAAACTTGTTAGCTGCACTTTACATTGTTCGATTGAGGCAAGTGATCTTCAACTGTGTTCTGTATCAAAAGAATGTCATGTAAATCACAACGTGCTTCGGAACCACCAAATTTTTTTACAAGCTTTGCAAGCATTGGAGCAGGCATGAATGACGCATTGTGATCTAAACTATTCGAGCACTTTTTCCTTTTACGAGTGAAACGTAAAATTCAGAACAAGTCCAGCGTTCTTGCGTCGTCTTAATGCCATAAGCGCATGCCTCACTATCCCACGATTACGACGTAGTGACTGGCCTTCCTGTCGCGATTTTTTGCCGTCGTCCATGTTATAGACGATCTAGGGCGCTCTGGCAACGAGCCGGTTGCGGTCGGCGCGCAGCTGGTCACCTGCAGGCGGTTTTAGCATCCAGCGCTTCCCGATTCTGCCAAGGTCGAGCACACGCGATCCTTCGTACAAGCGCATATCACTGCTCAGATCAACGCAATGCATCAGCAATAACACGCTGGCAGCGAAGAAACCTTTCTGCGTGCTTTGCACGGAAGATGGACTGTAACAGGTGTGGGGCAGGTTGGAAAACTGGATGTGAGACGGTCGGCTTGACGGGGCTGTGTCGCCGCTCATCTCGCAAAAGCATTGCGCAACTGGGCACCACTCGTCATCTAAGTGACCATGAAAGAGAAGCTTGCTGCTGTGAGATGTAACCGAAGGATTGAGAAAACGAATGTGTGATTGGGGGAAGGGTGGAGAATGAGGAGAGGAGCATATAACTTTCAAAACAAAGAGAAGTCGCAGCTGCCTCTCACTTGAAGTTCTCGTCTAATGCTAAAAAGTAATACGTGCGATTGGTAGTTAATATTAGATTTTTGCTCTTTTATTAGAGCCACGACGTTTTTGGCGCACACTCTATGCTTGAATCCGGGAAAGAATACTTCCGTCAATATCTCACCAATCCATTTTTCCAGCGACAAAAAAGACTAAATCCTCCTTTGTCATATTTTATCTCGCTGCCAAAATGCTTTGCCCGTATAAACGAGAAAAATTCTAGAATCTCACTGGCGATGTGAATCGATATATTAATCCCTGAAGCCCTTCTTCTAAAATCACTATTGCGTTGGACGGCATGACGGTAACACATGGTAACATTCGGTGCAGTATTGAACGCTGACTCTATATATGTCTTCCTTATTTGCTTATCTCCTTTCTGGACGAAGTTATAAGCCATTAAAGGCCATTGTTTTGCTAAGAAATTGTGCGTGAAAGTGAAAATTTGGCCGTACAGTGCCATGTTCTGATTAATTCTGGGCCGACACATGCGGCTAGGTTGCTTCGTACAGCCCATACCTAAAGATGAGCTGAGATGGAAATTATGTGCTTAATTTCGCAGTTTTTATGTAGGTTTTCTCCGCAATAAAACTACTTATAGCTTCGTCCACAAAAGCGGTAAGCAGATAAGGAAGACAGATTCGAAGTCAGCGCTTGATGTTGCATCGAATGGTGTACAGCTAGTTTGGTTTGGCCACTTCGACTTCTGCCCATTCCCTTGTAAGGAAGCTGGAGTAGGATAAGCGCTTTTGGAACCGCCCACCACGGCGTTTCACAGAATTAGTAACTAACAAGGGCAACACAAAACAGTCTTCGAAACAATAATAGACTGCCTCAGTTTTCTAGGGGAAGACATATAGAACTCACACCCCTAAACTGCAGAGCATAGGGAAGATAAATGAGCAACAATTTTCACATGGCTAAGTCTCAAAAATGGGTGTTGCTTTAGCACGCTAATCATAAAACTTTACTCTTCTCTGGAAAAAAGGCTGTACCGACTATAAGTACCTGTTCAAGACTGATTTGGTAAGATTGTTCAGTATCAAGGAACGGACTCCAGCCATGTTAGCTTCAAAACCATTACGCAATCCACATATAAAGTATTAAGACAAAAGCGATGAAGTTACAGTGCTTATACTCAACGAACTTAGCCGCTATAATTAACAGCCATGAGCGGTTGAAGAAGTGAACATTTGTATGATTGGCTGCATTCTCATACAGAGTTATTGTGCTTGTTTTCCGCACCACTATGACATAGGTTGATAAACGAGACTGTGCTTCTCAGAAAGGGCTTTCGTATAAGACTTACGCAGCGTTCAAAAAGGCATAAAAAAAGCTGAACGATCGATGGTGAAACTTCAAATGAAACTACAATTGAGATCGAACGGAGAGCATTAGGGTAAAGTGAAGTCCTCTAACTTTTCGCAGAATCTCAGTTCAGATGAAAGCGACGCTTTAGTCACTGACCATGGAGCGTCCACCTATAAACGCAAATCTGATCGCAGCAATAGCGACGATGT